CTACCAATCTCAGGAAAAAGCTGGTTCAAAATCGTTTGTATGACCGTCTCTGCATAACCCCCTACTGTGTCATCTGCCCCAACGGGCGAGAGGGGGACTGCATGGCTTCAGGGGTGATCTATTTGATCACTTGTGAGGCCTGCGGGGACGAATACATAGGTGAGACTGGGCGGCCTTTAGTATGTAGGATCAAGGAACACCTAGCTGGTCTGAAGAATTCGAGGCCTGAAACCCCCCTCGGAGACCATTGTAGGAATCGCCACGGAGGGGTAGAGTTTGAAGTCTCAGTCAGGATTTTGATGCGGGAGCCCACGACCTCCGCGCGAAAAACTTTGAAAGCATTTTGGATCCGCGCAAAAGACCCCAAAATTAACCGGAAAGACGAATGCCTGGCCATAACTAGTGAACTCGCCCCGTTCATCGACCTGTGTGTGCTACAATTGCCACTGGCTTAAAGTCGGGGGTCAGGTCACCCGGGGCCCACCCACTGCGAAAATGTTTAAATAGGCAGTTTGAAAGGTGGTCTACATGTCGTCTCCTTTATTCTAAGGTGGGTTCCCTTGTAGTGGTTTACGAGACCTATTCAGTTATCTGTAGGTTTACTTGGGCTAACTGAAGTCTGAAATGGTGCATGAGTCGGATGAATCTCAAATTCTTTTTGGCTTCCAGGTCCTGACAAAGGCGGTAACGCCGAAACGTTGACTGAATAAAGTGCTGTACCATCTTGGCTGAGGCTATACCACACATCTTCATATCGGAACTCACACGATGCCAAGATTCATAGAAAGTCGTTCATGGTACCTGCACTGTTTTTTCACCGAGCAGATTCCAGAACTTCTCCTTTGTTTGCTTGAAGCATAAGGCGAAAGAACTCCCACAGGAAAAATATCTAAAAGCAAAAGCTAATGAAGAGTTTTTGGGCGTTGTTCTGGGAAGAGCAGATTTCAAGGCTTTTTGAAGGCAGATTTCCGAGTAAGCGTAAATCACTTAATAGACTTTTTTTTGGAAAAAATAGCACAGGAACTCCCTTATAAGAAAATATCAAAAAGTAAAAGCTGGTGAAGATCTTCTAAGGCTACTCGTCGTTGTACTGGGATTCCCTGACTTTAAGGCTTTTTGAACATAGATTCTAGAATGAGCTGAAGTCCTTTACGGGCGTTTTTCTATTAACAGAAAAAACAAAAAAACTTTCGTGGAAAAAAAGAACAAACAGCAAAAGCTGGTGAAGATTTTCTTGGAGTAAACTCCGTTGTTCTGGAACTCCCCGATCTCAGGGCTTTTGAAAATAGATTTCTGTAGGAGCCAAAATTTTACTAGATTTTTTTTGGGAAAGAAAAGCAAAAAACTCCCTAAGAAAAATATCCAAAAACAAAAGCTAATGAGTAGATTTTCGGGCTATTCTTCTTTGATCTGGGATTCAAGGGTTTCGAAGACAGATTTCTGACTTAGCTGAAATCCTTTACTAAATTCGTTCAGAAAAAAAGAGAAAGAGTTCCCTCAGAAGAAATATCAAAAAGCAAAAGTTGGGTGAATATTTTCTTGGAATCTACTCCGTTGTTCTGGAACTCCCCAATCTCAAAGCTTTTTGAAGACAGATTTCTCTAGGAGCTAAAATTGTTTTCTAGACTTTTTAGGGAAGAGAAGCAAAAGAACCCTCCTAGAAAATATCTAATAGCAAAAACTAATGAAGAGTTTTTCGGGCTATTTTTCTTGAAATGGGATTCCCGGATTCCAAGGAATTTCGAAGAAAGATCGATGGATGAGTTATAATTCTTGGCTTGACGTTTTCAAGAAAGAAAAGCAAAAGAGCTCCCTTAGAAAAATATCAGAAAGCAAAAGCTGGCGAAGCTTTTCTAGGGCTACTCGTCGTTGTTCCGAGATTCACGGATCTCAAGGT